CAGCAGCAGCAGCAGCAGCAGCAGCAGCAGCAGCAGCAGCAGCAGCAGCAGCAGCGCCCTTGGGACCGACCACCCCGTGCAGCAGGCGATGGCCGTCGACACTCCGCAGCAGCAGCAGCAACAGCAGCAGCGCACAGTTGTATACCCTTCGCTGCTGCTGCCCCTAACGCGTTTTGCTGCTGCTGCTGTTGCTGCTGCTTTTGGCGGCGAAGTGCAGCAGCTCTTCCCTGATACAATCACTCCTCAGGGACCGCAGAGCTGTGTCTCTTCTCTGCAGCAGCAAGAGCAGCAGCAGCAGCAAGAGCAGCAGCAGCAGCAGCAAGAGGGTCCGCTATGGAAGGTGCTGAAGCTCAGCAGCGAAGCAGGCCTAGACAACGACTTGCTGCAGCAACTAGCGCTGCCGCTGCGGTTGTGGCTGTGTGAGGTGTACAGACAGCTCGGACCCTCAGAAGACTTGCTGCAGCGGGGGCTGCAGCAGCAGCAGCTGCTGCTGCTACGCAGGCCAGATGTTGCTGCTAACCGCATGCTGTTGCGCTCTTTGCAGCGGCGAGGCGCCATCGCATGCAGCAGCAGCAGCAGCAGCAGCAGCACTAACGAGACCGGGGATACCGCAGCAGGAGAGGTGCTGGCGCGGCTTGTGCTTACCTCAGGATACAGAGACAGATCTGCTGCTGCTGCTGCTGCTAAGAATCGTGGCAGCAGCAGCAGCAGCTCTAACGGGGGTCTCCCTTCCCTGCAGCAGCAGCAGGAAGAGCAGGAGTGCAGCAGCAGCAGCAGCAGCAGTAGCAGCATGAAGGAGCTGGCGAAGCGTTTGCTGAACCCTTCTTCCCCGTGCAGCGCTCGCGTGCTGCTTGAGTCTCCTGCTGCTGCTGCTGCTGCGCTTCCGGAGGAGCTGCTGCGGCTGCGGCAGCAGCAAGCGCTGCAGCGGCGGCTGTCGCTGCCTCTCGGTTGGGGGGCCCTCAGGCTGGGGCTGCAGGACCCTGAGGTGTATATACACTCCACGCTGTCGATCTCTCCGCTTGAGCTGCGCTGCCAGATCGTCACTGTTGCCCCGCTGCAGCAGCAGCAGCAGCAGTTGCTGCTGCTGCGGAGACAGCAGCAGCAGCAGCCGGCAGACTTCACTTGGGACCCCCTAGATGAGGAGACACTTCCGTTGCAGTTTGCTCCAGAGACATTCTATGCTGCATGCGCCGCACCGGCTGCTGCTGCTGCGCGAGCTACTCCAGCAGCAGCAGCAGCAGCAGCAGCAGCAGGGCGCCCGAGCGCAGGCCGTTACGTTTACGTGCACTCCCCACAGGCGCAGCAGCAGCGGTCTTCTCGCATGCAAATAGCAGCAGAAAGCCTTGCTTGGCCAGCCTTCAGCAGCGCATGTGCTGCTGCTCTTGCTGTGGGGCCCCACAGGTTGAGAGGAGCAGCAGCAAGACGAACGCGCTGCATCTGGGGGATCAGCAGCAGCAACAGCAGCAGCAGCAGTGGCAGCAGTGGCTGCTGCTGCCGCACAAGGGCGGGCTCTTCCGCTGGTGCCCTGGAGACGCAGCAGCAGCAGCAGCAACAACAACAACAGCAGCAGGAGGAAGGCCGCGGCTTATTCTGGAGCTGGCTGCAGCAGCAGCAAGAGATAGTGTCTCCTTCTGAGTTTGGGGGGCTCTGCCTTGGGCTGTCTCTTCAGGGACAGCTGCAGCAGCTGCATGCAGCAGAGTGGGTTCAATTGCTGCAGGGGGCCCCAGCAGGCAGCAGCACGCTGCTGACGGGGCTGCTGCTTGCTGCTTGCTGCAGCAAGATCGGCAGCTGCAGCACGAGCCTCCGTCGCCTCTGTCTCCTCCACCTGTGCCCTGCTCCTTTAGTCTCTGCTGCTGTCTTCAGCAGCAGCAGCAGCAGCAGCAGCAGCAGGGGACCAGCAGAGGCTGCAGCACTTGTGGGGCTCGGGTTGCTGCACTTCGGCTCTGCAGATTCATCTGTCACCACGACGTTGCTGCAGCACCTGCTGCGGCCCCCCTGGCTGCTGCAGCAGCAACAACAGCAACAGCAACAGCAACAGCAGCAGCAGCAGCAGCTGCACCTGCACCTGCAAGAGAGACACGCCTACGCCTTCAGTGCTGCCTGGGCATTGGGAGCTGTCTGGGCCGGTCGCCTAACGCCCAGCAGCAGCAGCAGCAACAGCAGCAACAGCAGCAGCAGCAGGAGGGAGGACGTGAAGGGCTGGAGAGAAGAGCTGCTGCTGGTAGCAAACCTGACGACGCCTTGGCCTTGGGGAGGCAGGGCGGGTGCATGCAACAGCAGCAGCAGCTGCAGCAGCAGCAGGAGCGTATCTGAGGAGGAGACGCCTTTGCAACGTTGTCTGTCTCTGGTGACAGCAGCAGCAGCAGCAGCAGCAACAGCAGCAGCAGGAGAAGGAGGAGCTGCAAGGGGGCCCCACCAGCCTCTGGTATTAGGCGAAGAACATGCGCGCTTGCTGCTGTCTCCTTGGGGGTGTAGACAGCTGAAGGGACAGCAGCAGCTGGGCCCCAGCAGCAGCAGCAGCAGCAGCAGCAGCAGCAGCAACGCGCATGCAGGGGGTGTAGATGCTTGTCTGTTGGGGGCCCCTGCAGCACTTGCTCTGGGCCTAAGCCACCTGGCTAGCGGAGATGAAGAGACAGCGCAGCTGCTGCTGCTGCCTCAGACACCGCAGCAAATTGAAGAATGTCTGCCCTACACTGTAACGCATAAGGTAGACTATACACTGTAGCCTGCTGTCTCCTTTTGTCTCCCTTCAGTCTCTTTGTCTCTGTCTGTCTTTGTCTGTCTCTGCTTGCTACGACTACTACTATTGCTGCTGCTGCTGCTGCTGTTGCTGCATGCAGGTGCTGGCCCGTTGTTTGATTCGGCTGCACTTTATAAGGCCCTCGCACTTGTGGGTTGTCCAGCAGCTGCCCCCAATCCTCAGAGTACTCCCCAGTGACGGCCCTCTCCCTGCTGCTGCTGCTGCTGCTGCTGCTGCTGCAGGGACAGCAGCAGCAGCAGCAGCAGCAGCAGCAGCAGCAGCAGCAGCAGCAGATGGGGCTGTAACAGCTCCCTGCATGCCCTACGCCCACCTCGTCAACCCCCAGAACGGATTGCTGCTGCCTCGTGGGGAGCGTCTCCGCAGCAGCAGCAGCAACAACAACAACAGCAGCAGCAACAACAACAGCAGCAATGTAAATTTGTACAAGGCCAGCCTGCTGCGAGCACACTGCATCGGCGCGCTGCTGTGGGGCATCGGGCTGCGGTTTGCTGGCAGCAACGACCCTGCTGCTTTGCTGCTGCTGCTGCAGTACTACGCTACCTTTGCATGCATGCATGTTGCTGCAGCAGAGCCTAGCCCTCTCCAAGAGGAGGTGCAGCAGCAGCAGCAGCGACAGCAGCCGCTTGTTTGGGTCCCCTCCCTGCCTATCCGGTGTCCCCAGCTGCAGCAGCAAGTAGGCCTTGATGCTGCTGCTGCTGCAGCAGTGCTGCGCTGCTGCTGCTGTGCACTTGCATGCGTTGCTGCAGGGACAGGAAGAAAAGATGTCTTCGCTGTGCTGCTGCGGGAGAGACACCGCCTCAGCAGCGGCAGCAGCAGCAGCAGCAGCAGCAACTTGAAGGGGTACGCAGAGCAGCTGTTGCTGCACCACTGTGTGGGGTTGCTGTTCATGGGAGGCTGCCGGTGGTCTCTGCAGCGCAGCAGCAACCTTGCTGTTGCTGCTTTGCTGCTGTCGCTGCAGCCTCTTGCTGCTGCAGCCCCCACAGACAGCTGCGGCAGTTTGCTGCTGCAGCAAGCAGAGCGACATCTCTACGTCTTAGCAGCAGAGCCTCGACATCTAAGAGCAGCAGAAATCAACACAGGTATATCTGTCTCTCTCCCAGTAGAGCTGCTGCTGCGGCGGGACCGCCCTGCTGCTGCTGCTGCTGGTGCTGCAGCAGCAGCAGCAGCAGCGAGCTGCACTCGGGTGTACGTACGCCGCCTCTGGCTGCCTGCTGTGCTTCCTGAAGCAGCTTCTATCTTAGGGCTGCGGGTAGCTAGCGCTAAGTACTGGCCCCTAGCGATTAGCAGCTGCAGCAGCAGCAGCAGCAGCAACAGCACGTGCTGCTGCTGCTGCTGCTGCAGCTGCCAGGTAGAAAGCCTCCTTGCAGGGGGGCTGCTGCTTGTTAAGAGAAGGGCTGTTGCTTTGCTGCAGTCGCCTATCCCTTTCCGCTGCATGCAGCAGCAGCAACAACAGCAGCAGCAACAGCAGCAACAGCACCTTGCGTTGCAGCTGCAGCAGCTGCTCGCAAGCAAGGAGTCCCCTCAGGAAATGCTGCTGCAGCTGCTGCACCTGGCTTGTGCAGCAGAAGGATGTACATTGGAGGGG